CCTATGCTGTGCCTTTTATTCCTGTGATGTGACCTTACTCATTCCATAACTGGAAGCCTGTGTCTCCCACTCTCCTTCACCCATTTTGCCCAACCCCCTACCCCTCCCCTTTGGCAACCACCAGCTTGTTCTCTGTATTTATAGGTCTGATTCTACTTTTTGTTTATTCATTTGTTTTGTTTTTTAGATTTCACATGAGTGAAATCATATGGTATTTGTCTTTCTCAGTCTGATTTATTTCACTTAGCATATTACCCTCTAGGGCCATCCATACTGTTGCAAATGGCATAATGTTATCCTTTTTACGGCTACATAATATTCCAGCATGTGTATGTGTGTGTGTGTGTTTGTATACATATACCACATCTTCCCTATCCATCTTGTACTGATAGACACTTAGGTTGTTTCTGTATTTTGGCTATTGTAAATAATGCTGCAATAATATAGCAGTACATATATCTTTTCAAATTAGTATTTTGTTTCCTTTGGGTTAAATACCCAGTAATGGAATTATTGGATCATATGGCATAGAAAGAACCATTATTAACATCGTTTCACAAAATCTCCCTTTGTATATTTACAAATAGGGATAAATTTACAAAAAAGGCTTATATAATATGTACCGTACATATATGGTTATTTATATATTTTTATTTATTTATTTTTAAAAATTTTATTTTTTTACTTGAGAGAGAGCGCAGAGGGTGAGTGAGAGGGAGAAGCAGACTCCCCGCTAAGCAGAGAGCATGACATGGGGCTCAGTCCCAGGACCCCAAGATCATGACCCAAGCCAAAGGCAGATGCCTAACCAACTGAGCCAACCAGGCACCCCCATGTATTGTCATTTAAATTTAACAGAGGGAGTTGAAGCTGAAGCAAATTATTAAACTTCAGTTAAATGTTCTTTTGCAAGATAGATTAGTTCCTACAAGTCCCTTTAAAGTTTTGCAAAAAGATTATGAATAGCACTAAGAGGCTGGAGGTCTACATAGTTAACGCTTAAAAAGTATTGGAGATAAGAAAGGAGCTACTTTAACTGCTTAGAAGCAGCTTTTATTTAGATACCAGAACTGCTTGAGGTAAAGTATAATATTATTAAGTGTGTCTTTATTAGTTGCAGGGAATCTCAGAGGACCCTGAATTGAGTGTCCTATTCCATTCTCTGCTGTGTATGGCAAAGGCATGGTTCAGAGTACAGCTTTGGGGTTAGACTGCCAGTTAGGAACCATGTGGCCACAGGCCTCAGTCTCATCTCCTGCAAAAAACTGGGTTAATAGTATCTTCCTCATGTGATTGTTGATAGGAATAGGATAATACATGGAAAGCTCTTATAATACTGCTGGATTAATAGTGTTTAAGCTATTACTATTATACAAGTATAATGGTGAGCATCTGAACCAGTATATGCCATTGAAAACTGTCATTCACAAAATCATCTCTTTCTAATTCATCTCAGAATGATCCCCCTGTTAAATCTGCCTACTCCTAAAGTTAAAGGCTGGGGCCCTGAGTGTTTGACCAGTGGGTACATGGGCTCCTGTCTGAGACTGCCGCCTGTGTTTATAAGAATGGACAGAACAGGGGCGCCTGGGTGGCTCAGTTGGTTAAGCGACTGCCTTCGGCTCAGGTCATGATCCTGGATTCCCGGGATCGAGTCCCGCATCGGGCTCCCTGCGCGGCAGGGAGTCTGCTTCTCCCTCTGACCCTCCTCCCTCTCATGCTCTGTCTCTCAAATAAATAAATAAAATCTTAAAAAAAAAAAAAAAGAATGGACAGAACACACAATTCTAGTGTTGTTTACAATCCTAAGCATACATAATTACCTATAACAGCAATAGTCACTACTATGCACATCACTTACATGGACATACACAAAGAACTTTATTTCTATACTTAAAAATCCTCCTTAAAAGTAAATAATATTAGTGTTTCTAAATACCGAGTATGAAATTCATATTGAATTTTAAGTTTTAATATATTTTCAGCTTCATGTTTTTGGCTAAGTTTAAAGTAGTCTAATGCTCTCAGTTTATTAATATGCAAATTTAAATTTTTAATAAAAAGCTTTATAAAAATAAATTTCACCCCCTACATTATTATTTTTTTTAAAGATTTTATTTATTTATTTGACAGAGAGAGACACAGCGAGAGAGGGAACACAAGCAGAGGGAGTGGGAGAGGGAGAAGCAGGCTTCCCGCGGAGCAAGGAGCCTGATGCGGGGCTCGATCCCAGGACCCTGGGATCATGACCTGAGCCAAAGGCAGACGGTTAACGACGGAGCCACCCAAGCGCCCCCCCTACATTATTTTATTATGATTGCTTCCTGAATTTGAACTTGAAGAGAGTTGATGACTTTTCTTAAAAATATTCTAAAGTCCACTCTACTCTATCTCCCTTTTGGGGAGCTATTAATATATTTATTTTCTTGACAGTAAAATGCTATTCAGGTACTCTATGAAGATATACATTTACTTTCATTATAAACCCATCTTTCAGCCATAATTGTTTTTTTTTTTCCTTTTTAAGTATTTTCGCCCAAAAAAGAATTTTGAGAGTAATAATTCTAGCTGCTTCTCTGAGCTAAGACTATAGTTTTGGGTTTCTTTTCATGCTCAGGACTTTAGGGACACACATAACCACCAAGTAACAGAATAAATGCCAATTTTCCATTTTGGCTTTGCCTTTCTACATAGTGAGTAGGCTTTTTTTTTTTTTTTTTGGTAAATCATTAAACCATAAATTCTAGTTCAAACAGTTCACTTGATTTCTAGTTTGGGTGTGAAAGAGGGTGATTTGATGTTTTAAATGATGGTTTGGTTTCTCCATCAATTAAGGTAACAGGGTAAAGAGTAAGTTACATTTCTGTGACTTTACACTGACTTGATTTATGTTGGGTTAATTAAATAATTTTTTGTGTCTTCAAGTTCTCCAGTAAAAACTAGGTCATGTGCATAAACTCAGCTTTACTCTGTAGAGGAATGGTTAAAAAATAGTCAAAGAGTAAGAAATTACATGAGTAAGAAAAACATGTCTAACACAGTCTGAACACAAAATGTAGGAACCATATGCTGTATTCATCTCTGTCTTCCTTCCACAGTGGCTCATGGTACACAAATGTAGCAAAATTAAATAATGTTGAGTTGATGACCTTACCTCAATTTGTAGTATTCCTACCTCAAACCTTCTAACGGTATGATACCTATGAATAAATTTCTTTATAATGATCTTTAAGAGATGGTCCAAATTCTTTAGTTTTACTGAAATGTCATATCAAATATTGTTTTTATTTAAGTAAACCACTGGCTGGAGTTTGGAAACCTTTTTCTAATCAAAGCCTTTGTTGTTTTTTTTTTTGTAAGGGTATTTTTTGTAACAGGATTTGACCTGTAACTATTATTGAGAATTTTCTTAAAGGAGTTCAAAGCATTTTACAGGGATCATCTCATTTATCCCTCGAAAGTAAGGCAGAGGCATTATCTCCACTATAAACTGAGAACACTAAAAGGCCAAGATAGGTGGGGTTTTTTGTTGTTGTTTTGCTAAGATCAAAAAGTAATTCTAGGGCAAAGCCAGGTTCTGGTCTGACCTTGTTACATGATGCTTCTGCAGCACCATAATGCAATGTAGTAGCTTTCTTAGGTCTCCCCTTGGCTCTCCTAGGTATTGAATAATTTCCAGAGTTGATTTCTCATTCATTCTTGCTCCCTAAAAATGGGTCTTCAGATGTAAATATAAAATAAAACCCTCAAACAGGACTTGGGGTACAGGCTACACAGGGTTAGTCATCTTCCTCCCATCTTACTGCCTAGTCCAGTGCTATGTATAGAAAAATAATTGGGGCCATAAATGCAAGTCACATGTGTAATTTAATTTTTATTTTTTAAAAAGATTTTATTTATTTATTTGACAGACAGGAAGAGGGAACACAAGCAGGGGGAGCAGGAGCAGGAGAGGGAGAAGCAGGTTCCCCACTGAGCAGGGAGCCCAACTCAGGGCTCGATCCCAAGACCCTGGGATCATGACCTGAGCTGAAGGCAAATGCTTAACAACTGAGGTGCCCCTTATTTTATTTTTAAAGATTTTATTTATCTAGAGAGTGAGAGCATGGGCAAGCAGTGGGGGGAGGGGGGGTGCAGAGGGAGAGAATCTCAAGCAGACTCCCTGCTGAGCACAGAGCCTGATGGAGGCTCAGTCTCACAACCCTGAGATAATGACCTGAGCCCAAATCAAGAGTCCAAGAGTCCATGCTCAACTGACTGAGCCACTCGGGGGCCTCTATAAATTACCTAGTAGTTACATTAAAATATATTTTATTTACCCATTGTATCAAAAATCTTTATCACTTCATGTAATATGGAAGTATTAAGATAATTAACATGCTTTTTCTTGTATAAGTCTTCAAAATCTGTTGTGTATTTCAAATGCCCAATAGCTACAATGTGACTAGCGGGATGTGTTGGACAGCATGTCTGGACTTCAGTAGGGTTTTCTTAGCTCTCCCTTCAGATCGGTGCCCTTGTGAATGGAATGGGTGGTGTGGGGGAAGGACTCCTGGGTGACCCTGGAGAATCCATTTGCACTTGTGTGGTAACTAGTAAGAAGCCTTAGGTTTTGCCATTTCCTGATAACATCACTGGTAGTTATGGATTCAGGATTTAGAGGACTGCAGCCTCCCCAAATGTCTAAAATACCAGCTCACTGTCGGGACCGGGTTCCTACCCTGTGGGAGGACCTGGGCTAAGGAAAGTGCCAAGTTCCAGGGCTGCGGTTTCATGGGGCCCTGGGAGGTGGCCTGTGGAAAGGAGGCATCACCCACGGAGAGGAGGGTTTCTAGAGAGGGAAGGCCACCCAAGTGGATGCTTCTTGAGGGCAGAGGCACTACTAGGTAGATTCCTGGAAGGCGGAAGCTCTTCTTGGGGCCTTCGCCGCCCCGCAGCCGGCCTCACATGCCAGACGAATGAATGCATGTGCTTCCACCCGGCGCTCCCGGCGGCCCTGCCGATGGGGGAGGGGGTCTGCTCCCTGGCCTGGCCCGCACCCCGCAGCGGCTCCAGGGCCGCGGGTGTGAGGGGCGGGCCCAGGTCTTGGCCCGCGCCGCCCCATGTGACCCGGTCCGACATGGTGTCGCCTCCTCCCGCGGCGGCGGTGGCGGCGGCTCGGCTGTGTTTCGGGCCGGGCCTGCGGCCGCTCATGGGCAGCCAGGGCCACCCGGGGCCGCCCGGGAACAGCGGGCCGGGCGAGGGCGAGGGCGGGGAGGCGAGGAAACTGCAGGGAGGGAGGGTCGCGAGGGGGAAGCGAAGAAAGGGGAAGGGGAAGGGAAAAGCGGGAGCAGGACAGGGCGGAAGAGGAAGCGGGGCGGAAGGGAAGCCGGGGCTGCAGAAAGCGAAGGAGGCAGCGGCGCTGGGGGCCGAGGCGGGAGCCAGGGCAGGCCCAGGGGAGGAAGGAGAGGGAGGCGGAAGCGTGGAGGAAGGGGCGAGAAGGATCGTGCTGGGCGATGAGGGGAGCGCAGGGGCGGGGAAGGAGGCCAGAGGAAGAGGTGCTGGGAAAAAGGAGGAATGGAGGGTCAGGCCTGGGCGGCGGGAGGACGCGAGGCCGGGGAGAGCGCAGGGACGAGGGGGTCAGGCGTGGGGCTGCATCGCGGGGGCTGGGGCGGCGGGGGTGGCCATGGCGGTAGCCGCCGAGGAGGCGGCGGCGGCGGCCCGGGAGCCGGCCGGCCGCCCCGCTGCGGGGCCGGCGCTCTTGCGCCTGCCGGAGGAGCTGCTGCTGCTCATCTGCTCCTACCTGGACATGCGGGCCCTCGGCCGCCTGGCGCAGGTGTGCCGCTGGCTGCGGCGCTTCACCAGCTGCGACCTGCTCTGGCGCCGGATAGCCCGGGCCTCGCTCAACTCCGGCTTCACGCGGCTCGGCACCGACCTGTAAGCGCCCGCTCACCCGCCCGCTCCCTGCCCCGGGCCGGCCCGCGTCCCGGGAAAGGGCGGGGCGCCGCGGCCTGGTCGGCCCGGGGTTGTGTCGCACCCCGAATGCGAGGCCCAGACCCGGCCTCGGCGGGGACCCCTCCCCGAGCGCCCCTCTCCTGTCGGAGGTCCCCCTCCGAGAAAGCCTCCCATGAGCATCCCTCAGTCGGTACCCTCCTTGGGCGGCTTCTCACAATTAGCCATCTTAAGCACTGCCTTCAGACGGTGACTGGCCAGGTGCCTCAGCCCCCCAGGAGCCAGGGTGGTCTGAGGCTTCGGACGCCTCCTCCGGTTCAGGTGTAGGACCCATATCCACTATGTAGTCTATCAGAACGTTTTTATGGGTATTCATCCGCTCACCCTCTTCTGAAGGTTGTTAAGCTGCAGGGCTCAGGTGAAATCGAATATGGAGAAAAGGGCTCAGACCTGAAAAGAAGGCTCCTGGTCCAAGTGTCAACTGTAGTTTGACTTGATACAGGCAGAACGACACAAAAAAGGGTGCCTGCTTATGGCAGGGGACTGGATTAGGTCTAGGTGGTATAGAAAGGCGTGGTATTGCAGTTTGGCCTGTTTTGGGTAGGATCTGAGACCTGTGCATGGAAAACTGACTTGAACGATTTGAGCTGTTAAATAGGAAAGGGGGGAAAAAAAAGAATTGGGTGAGTAAAAGCTTTTAGATTGCACCTAAAATTCCATCCAATTTGGGTTTTAAAAAAGGTAATTCTAAAACAGTATAACAACATTAAAGAGTTTTTTAAAACATAAAACGCTATAATACCATTACCTTTAGACAACTATTCACTATTTAAAATTACTTTTCAGTTGTATACTTTTTCCCCCCTCCCAGTTGCTGTTTTACTGATCCTGACAGAATAGGTGCATAATAAATGTTTGTAAACTCTACCATAATGAGATTAAAAACATTCTTCTAATATTAAACTTTCATGTTGTGTCTAGATTTTTGCTATTATGGATAACAGTGAAACAAAGCATTTTTGGGTAACAGCTTTTGATATATGTCACATACCACATATATGCCTTTTTATTTTTATTTTTTTGAGTGATTTTCTTTTTTAAATTTTTTATTAACATAATGTATGATTTGTTTCAGGAGTACAGGTCTGTGATTCATCAGTCTTACACAATTCACAGCGCTCACCATAGCACATACCCTCCCCAGTGTCCATCACCAGCTACCCCATCCCTACCACCCCCCCTCCACTCCAGCAACCCTCAGTTTGTTTCCTGAGATTAAGAGTCTCTTATGGTTTGTTTCCCCCTCTGGTTTTGTCTTGTTTCATTTTTCCCTCCCTTCCTCTATGATCCTCTGTCTTGTTTCTCAAATTCCTGGTATCAGTGAGATCAACATACGCCTTTTTAAGATTTTTTTTTTTTTAATTTTTATTTATTTGAGAGGGAGAGAATGAGAGAGAGCACATGAGAAGGGGGAGGGTCAGAGGGAGAAGTAGACTCCCTGCTGAGCAGGGAGCCCGATGCGGGACTCGATCCCAGGACTCCAGGATCATGACCTGAACTGAAGGCAGTCGCTTAACCAACTGAGCCACCCAGGCGCTCAACATACGCCTTTTTAAATTAGTTCCTTAGGATAAATGCTCAAGATTGGCTTTATTGGATCAAAGGTTATGGTTTGTAAAATTGTACTAAGTTACTGTGGCACCAGCAAAGAATGATTAAGCCAGTTGCATATGAAAATTTAAAAATCTGTTTTAGTTGGGCATATGATTGTATCCCAAAGTTTTATTTTTTTGCCTTTTTTTTTTACCACTGACCCCAATAAATATTTTCCCATGTGTTTGTTTCACCTGTGAGATTGTCTATACCTAGTCTTTGCCCATTTATTATTGGGATTTTGATGTTTTTCTCATATATTTGGAATCCTGTGGGTCATAGATATTAGGGTCTCATCTGTCATCTTTGATGCAAATATTTTCCCCAGTCCTTTTTACTTTACTGTTTTTAGCCTATAGAAGTTTTACACTTAAATATATCAGAATCTGTCAGTCTTTTGTGATTTTTTTTCTTTTTTTACCCCAAAACTGAGAAATTTACAATTTCTCCACAGACCTGATGAATCTTCTTTTTGATATTCTGCTGGTTTTCTTATATTTGATTTTTTAAAATAACACTTTCATCAATATCAGTTTTGTTCTGGTGCAAGGGTGAATTTAACTTTTTTTTTTCCTAAGTGGCTACCTAGTTATCACTGTACCTTTTGTTAAATAATTCTTCTCTTTCCCTTTGTTTTAGAAAGCTTATGTTGCCAATTATTAAGTTTATGTGTGTGTATAGACACACACACACGTATGTATGCACATCTGAACTCCATTTTGTTCCATAGATATATTTTTCCATTTTTCTACTGTTTTAAATATTGTTTTTTGGTAGAGTCTGGTATTGATTAGGGTTAGATTTATCCTTGTTGTGTGTGTGTGTGTCAGGTCTCCACTCCCATTCAACTCCCCAGCAGAAAAAGATACTGTGCCTTTTCAAAAGTTTCTGTGGTTTTCACTGTAAAGTTTCTCTCTCTATATATAGTCAAATTTATTCCTAAGTATTCCTGTATGTGTTATGCATTTTGTTTTTATTGTGAATGCAGTCTCTTTTTCAGTATGTTTTTCAGCTGGGTGTTACTAATGGTGATGTACAAGATTACTATAAGCTTTTGTAAATTTTGAACCTGATTATTTTGCTTAACTTATATTCTAGTATGATTTTGTCTAGTTATCTAGTCAGGTTTGTTATCTAGTATGATGATAATGATTCTTTGGGATCTTTTGGCATGCAGTCTTGTTACCTTCATTTCTTATAAGAAAAATTCTTTCAAAGGACCTATCAGTTGACCTTTAAGGGAAGTTGGCTAAAGTGACTGAAACCCAAGCCAGCTAAGGCAAAGCTTGGCTTTCTTTCCTTATAGAGATTGAATGAATGAATTGATGTTTATTTTTCTTTCCTTTTCAAATGCTCTAAAAGAGAGATAATGGGAATGAGTGTTCGTTCTGTGAGCAAAAACAACAAAATGAAAATGAGTTTGTAGTATAAAGTGCTTTGAGACTGTTAAGTGATACGGCTTTATTATTTATTAGCCATGTGTGTTTTGATTTCTTGCCCATGTCCTAGGATGGGCTATCTCCGACCTTCTAGGGAAGTTGTTTTACCACAGCATTTGATAAAGAGCAGGGTCACTGCTCATGTTTTCTGAGTTGAGGGGAGAAGTTATGTGTGTTACAGCAGGTGGAGAGAATGTTTACCAGTGTGGTCTGTTTCTGGACAGCTGCAGAGACGTGATAAGCCACCAAGAGAGGTGGTTGTCATCCTGGAGGGAGACAGCATACACCCAGTCCTCGTAGGGCATCAGAGAGCCTGGGCCCAAAGTATGAGACTGTGGCTGCTCGGATAGTGGCAGGGCTGTAGTGTATGGTTTGGGCTAATTAACTGCAGACTGGACAGTGGGATGTTTTTATGAGCACAACACAAAAGTTCATTTTATCAGAAGTTACACAGCCTCACTGGACCTGAGTTTTATCATCTATAAAGAGTGGGAAAGACCTACCCAGTAAAATGAGGCTTAAATGTGCAATTGTGTACAGAGTTAAGCACATAGTAGGAATTCAATAAATTGTTGTAAAATGGAACTTTTTAATTGCTTGGCTTGTCTAGTCAGTTTGTATTTAGCAAAAGAGATGGTTTGAATTGGAGGTGCTGCCGAAAGACAGGAGGTGGGGGAAAACACACACACACACACACACAGGGCGCTTAGTTTCTCTCACCTGTCCTGAATGCTTTTGGAAGCATGACAACAGAACCTGTGGGTCTAGGATCTGCACTCCCTGCTATAAGATCCTCTTGATTCTCAAAAACACGAACTGCTAAGGTTTACTGACCTTCCGGCCCAGGGCAAGTCCCTTTCAGTTTGGCTGTTCCTAACTGATCATAGCTTTGTTGAGTAAGATGAACTGCTTTGGTTCCTTGTGATTTGTTAATGGTCTTATACTTGTGCTTGAAGGCATTTTGGCCACTTTTAAAAACCACAAACAAATAACTTGCTTCCCTTTAGGCCTCTGGCCTAAACAGTGAACATGGGTAGGTAGCTGAGCTTTTAAAAAAAAAAAAAAAAGTGAACACAAAGACAGTTTGAGTCAGTCATCTGGTTTAAAATCAGTTTTCTTTGAAGGTTTTATGAAGCCTGGGGGGAATAGAAATATCTTTAATATAAAAATCAAGGAAATGTTTCATATAGCGGTCTTTTAAGTTTTCTCTGAAGAGTAGGGGGGAAACTAACATGGTTCAGTCTTCAGGAACAAAACAGTGAAATTTAACCCTCCCAGTTTATAATGAAGGCTAAATGCAAGAAGTAGACAGACAATATGACAGGTGGAAGAGCAGAGGTGCTATCTGTAAGTTCTAATACTGGAAATGAACAAGGGCAAAGAACAGAATACAGTATACCTGTATATATAATCTAAGGGTTTTTTTAAAGATACTTCTGCCAGTCTCATGTTAATTCCTCCCAAATTAAGTCCTGTGTTTTCAAACTTCAATTTTATTTTAACCATCCTTTGAGCAATACCTGGGTGCTCCTTTGCATTTACTTGTGGTAGATTTGCCTAGAATTAACAATAGGTGTTTAGGAAGTAAGGCTCTGAGGTGTTTGCCCTGGCATGTACATTCATTCCTCAGCCAGGGTCTTGCAGGCTTGGAGCTCTTTGAGGCTGGGGAGCAGGGTATCTATTTCAGTGATGATTAACGTCCAGAGTAGTGAGATGGACACAGATAAGCAGAGTGTGTTTGTTTGTTTTAAAATGATTATACCTAAGAGCATTTTTTTGGCCCAGAAAGCATAAAGTTTCCTTTCCTAACTCTGACCTGGAGAAGGCATTGCTGCCTGGTTGCATTTAAGGTCTGAACAGTGATTTTCAGAAAACAATTAGCAACTTAAAGTA